CGTCTGGGCTGAACCATGTCTATTTCGAGGCTTTTTATCGAAAAAATAGTTCATCATGAATAAATTTTCCTGCTGTAAGAAGTTCAGCAATCTTTGCCTCATACATTTCTTTCGCCATAGACATACTTACCCATTGCTACTTTGGCATCATCTTGTTTAAACCTCATCTTCGCATTAAAGTCGTACATAATTATTGTGTAATATACTGGTGGAGGTTTTGGGGTTTTAATATTAAAACGCCACGCTTGGCTAGTGCGTGTGGCGAGTTGTTTTGGAAGTGGGGGAGGAAAGGGTGGAGATGGGAATGCTTTGGGTTTGGACATGGTTTCCCTGGGGATGGGAGGCTAGGAAAATCCATCAGCTCGCGTGGGCAGGTGTGCTATTCCTGAAGTACACCTATCTCCTGCCGGGATCGCAGAGAAATATCCACCCGCTACACATTTAACATAACAATAGCATAAAAGTTTAACATGGATTAAAAAATTTAAAATTGGTATCTGACATTGACAGATGACATCTGGCCGGTATGTTAAAATGGAAGTGGTTCAGGGCTGTATCTTAAATATTATTATCTGCCATAGTGCATTTAAAAACAACTCAAATTATTAAACTGTGATACTCATTGGCAAGATCTGTGATGTCAGTCTTATTATTCATATGTTGTGTGCAACAACTCTTCTATGCAGGTATTGATGTGTTTGCCCAATATATGTTGAATTACAGTCTTCACAATTTATTTTATAAATAACTTTTGATTGATGATCTTTATTAACCTTGGGTTTAAATTAAAAAAAATATTTTTCAGATGTTTTTTCAGATTAATATCATACTTTGCCAACATTTTTGACATTTGTTCAGAAAATCCATTAAAATATGGTAAGGATATATAGTAGTTGTTTGAGTTAGTAGCTAGTGACATTATTATTATTATCCCAGATTTAGCCATACGGCTCACACTCCCTCTAAGGGGAAAATTCACTCATCCCAGATATTTACGGTATCAAAAGGATTGAGCTCTGGTGGGACTCTTTCCGTGTTATCGAGCCCTAGGTGACTTGGTATGTTGGAGTATCTTCCAGAAATTTTCGTACACATCTGGACGTCGCGAGGAGTACAGCTTTCTGCATGGCCTTATAAAGATGTTCATTTGGACCCAGTTGTTTTATGTTCGCTAGGAGGTTTTTGGGAATAACACCAGTAGTAGATAGAACAATAGGTACTGTCTGGGTACTTTCCATTCTCCATTGTCTCTTGATTTGTATTTCCAGATCTCTATAGTTGGCGATCTTTTCGTTGTATTTAACACGCAAATTGTTAGTGTTAGGTATCGCCACATCAATAAGTGTCGTTTGCCTGGTAATTTTATTCACTAGTATGAAATCCGGTCTATTATGGGCCACTGGTTGGTCTGTGAGCACAGTGCGGTCCCAGTATAGCTTGTAATTGTCATTTTCAAGCATTCTGTCAGGGACATATTGATAATAAGGAAGATGGTCGGTTTGGAGAAGTTCCAGTTTGTCAGCTAGTTCTTGGTGGATAATCTTTCCTACTGAGTCATGGCGTTCTTTATAATCAGTACCGACAAATGCCTGGCAGCCACCAGTAAGATGTTGGATGATTTCTTGGGCTTGGCATCCATATCGGCATTTGTCATTTTGGACTTGAGGATCTTTAACAATATATTTCAGGTAATTTTTAGTTGGAATAACCTGATCCTGAATGGCAAGTAGGAAACCCTCAGTCTCGGGAAACATCTTTCCTGATGTCAACCAATAGTTCGACGTTGTATTGTCGACATATTCTTGGTTGATCTCATTGAGATGTCGCCCATGCAGAGGTTTACTCATCTAGTTGCGCATTTTTTCTTGCTGAGTCAGGTGGTTTATGCGCATTTCTTGTTCCCTCAGTTTAAGCGGCGTCGTATCATCTACTGCTCAAATTGCTCTATGTAAAGTAGATGTCTCAGCCTGTACTGAAAATAAGATCTTAAATTATATCCATAAGTCCTCTTCCCCTTGATACCGCGGTAATGTTGTTCTCTCTACTGCACTACGTGGATGATGTTTTTGCGCCTTTGTGAGAAGTGTTCTTACTTTCCGCTGAAGATCCTCTATATCCGTTTTTGACCACTTTATAATACCAAATAAGTAGCTCAGCGCGGAACAGGCGTACGTATTTAATGCCTTAATCAAATTTTTACTATTGGGATATGACCGATTTAGTTGTCTTACTCTTCGCACGAACTCCGAAGTTAGTTCCGTTTTCATTTGTTTATGGTCAATTTTCCGCGCTTGTTTTACTCCGAGATATTTGTACATTGTACACATTGTATACATTTGTACAGTTATTATTATTATTATTGAGGTATGGTTTGGGTTTGTTTTGGTTTGGTATTGGAATTAGATTGTATTCTGATAATATAACTCCTTTTTTTAATTAGAGGATATGTAAAATTCTGCTGCATAATTATTTTTACTAAAATATTTTAACTTTTCTTAAATCTGCGGATTGGTATTGTGGACTATATAGCTTAATTGCTCTGTTAGTAAGACTGAAAACAACACCTCTTTTATGGGCTATGGATGCGTTGGTATTAAAATTTAAAAATCTTTCGGACCAAACATCTCTTGTAAACCAGTTAGTTGTTTTCATTCGGTTAGTGTTGTTATATTCTAAACTTAAATCAAGAAAAGTTATTTTATTGTTTTTTTCTTGTTCATAAGTAAATTAAATGTTATTATGGAAATTATTGAACATTTGAAAAGTATGATCGATTTCATGATCCGAAATGCTGAGTAAGCAGTCATCAACATATCATTTGTAGAAGTATATGTTGTACTTCAATTTAGATACATCTACTCCGAATTTATTTTCAAAGAAGCCTTAGATAAGGATGCAGGCATAAAAATCAAGGGGATTATTGTCAACAATCTTAGATACGCACACGATACGGTACTGATTGTATCCAATGAAAAATAATTGCAACGACTTATAAACAGGGTGACTGAAACATGCGTTGAATATGGACCGAAGCTTAACACTTATATTGGAATATTTTATATAGATTTGTCAGAATAAGATAACAAATTGCCGATGTTAACTGGTACGCTAATGTTGAAATCGATTAAACCTAAATATAGGCTCCGAGTCCCTATGATTAAGACAATCAAAAAATGTCTAAAGTGGCTCAAATCGTCAAATCTTCGACAGTATTAATATTACAGGGAGTTTCATAGATTCCAATCCTATGCAGATGCTCTGTAAAGAGGCCATGGTTAAGTTTTAGCCGGGTTATCAACGAGGAATGTACTTTATTATAGTTTAAACTAAAATGGGGAATATTTATTGGTAACCATGGATGTGTAGAAAAGTAATGGTTTCTTGAAGTCTTGAAGTATGGAATAGAGTTAAAAAGAGTCCACAATATCACCGATGTCGGCGCCAATGTTAACGATAACTTGGATCTAAGCAAATAAATAATAAAACGCATTGAAAAAGCCAGAGTCACCTTCTACAATTGAAAAAAAAATCGTATTAATAAAGACATTAAACCTTAAAATCAGATTAATACGCTGCTACATATTTTACACCAAATGAACAAGAGCACAGAAATAACAAAAACGATAAAAATTCTAAAGTATAACAACATTTCGGCCATGTAATGAGACACACAAAAAGGTATAAAGGTATAACCTTCTAAACCTCATAATACAGGCCAAGATCACCGGAAGAAGTGGCCCAGGCCAAAGAAGAACATCCTGGCTTTGAAATCTCCGATAGTGGTATCTCGAGACATGCTAATCTCTTACGATTTTCCGTAAACAAAGTTATTATTGCTAATATGATGGCCAACGTTCGATATAATCGGACAGAGTACTACAAGAAAAAGAGGTAATGTACACAAGTTAAAAAGCAATTTTTGTTCATAGTGTGATTCGATTTGTCTAGGAATTATTACACTAAAGATAATTATATGACATGCACAATTCATGATTTCACTTATTTTACCATACTGTATTTTATATCATATAATTTCCCTATTATTGCAATTATCGATATATTAGCTTATAAATTATAACAAATCACTCCACAAAATAGCCGAATAAGCTGTTGTTCATTATTTTGCACTAAAAATCTTAAAAGTTGCTTCTAAAATTTTTCTCCAACTAACTCCTCTATTTTCAATTAATTGTAATCTACCTTCCTACTTTTTCATCCAAAGATCAAAAACTCTCCTGAGACTCACATCGACAAGAAGTAAAGAGCTTTTTTCGATCTCTTTTTCTCCCACGAGACCAGAAAGAAGGATGCGTAAGAGAAAGGTAAAACTGCCTCGATAAGTGCCAACAAAATAAAGTGGGAGGAGTTAAGTGTTTCCAAATCCAATCCTTCTTATTCTGCTACCTCTACTTCAGTTCACAACAATCACTCGAAGTGAGCGGAAGAGTTATTCGTTGATGAATTTTAAAAATTGTGTTTTTTTATTTAATTAAAGGAATTGACGAAGAGAATTTATTTTAAACAAATAAAAATTGTTAAAAGTGGTTATTAACTTAAAAATATAAAACTATATTTCCTATTTTTACAGTAAAACAAAGAAGAACTTTTGTGTGTGGATTTTTAGTAAATAATTTTAAGTTTACAAAACGGTTTTGTCATTGTTTTGTTTGTGTTTGAACGAGGCTAGATCCGAATAAGTGTATAAAACGGAAAACAGTGCGATCTGCCGCGTGTTGTGGCCTTTCCCACTCAGGCGCCAGCCAGCCGTCATCCATCATGAACAGTGACGTCACGGATCGGGATTGGCCTTCGTCTCGTCACGTGGTTAGTTAATTCCTCTCTGTGGGCGTTTACGGCGCTCCGAGTAAGAGAGACGAACATATAGTAGGGGATTGGAAAAAAGAACTCCAATGTAATACCTAGTATGTTATAAGTCCCCACCGTAAACTCCGGCGAAATTTATAGAGCTTTTACCGTAGAGCTCAGAAAAATTAATGATCATGAGTTCGTTTTTAATGAACCCCGTTTCTGGAGCTTTGCCGTCGAGTTATCAGCAAGCTCAGCATTTATCAGGTGGTGTAGTCGTCGATCCGAAATTTCCGCCTAGTGAAGAATATAGTCAAAATAGTTATATACCCTCGCCGACCGAGAATTTTTTCGGGAATCATCATTTGAATCAGCCTCAGCATCACCTGCAATATGGCTACCACAATCATCACCAAACTACGTCTTATGGATCAGGAGGCATGCCATTATCTGGAACGGGATATGGTAGTTACGGTAATTATTATCATCATCAACTGCATCATGCACCCCCTATACATTCGCACCAAATTCGACCGCCTATACTGCACGAGAATCAACAGAATCTCGTCAATTGCGGATCGATATCAAATAATCACAACCAATCCTCGGTTGGCAATTCCTCGAACATTTTACAAAGTATTTCGGACATTTCAACGAATGTTACGCAAGCCAGTGATGTGAACTCTAGTGTGTGTAGTCCTGCTTCCGTGGGCCATGGACAAGAATCGAGGGGATCGCCCCCGGGACATTCGTTGCAGGAATTAGGACTCAGATTAGAGGATAATGTGTCTGACGAACCTGATGATATAGATGATCAGGGTAGTTCTACAAACAATGACGAAGAAGAGGATGATGATGCGGATGGTGATAGACAGATTTACCCCTGGATGAAGAAAGTTCATGTTGCAGGAGCATGTAAGTACCTGAGTTTGATTTTTGAATTGCAGATATACAGTTATGACAGAACTATTTGTTTTATCTTAAGAAAGCTAAACAATATATTTTATTAATTAATGATACAATGACGACTTGCACGGTTTACTGTAAATGTTGAAGTTTAGGGGCAAAATTTACATTTTTCGTGATTAAATAATTCACTTAATTTCGATTAACCACTATTTTCTGTATTCATAAACCTTTTCTACACTGTAATAATTTTTTGCTATATATTTTGTTCTTAATCAAATACATTGTTCATTTTATAAATTCTTTATTTTTTTCTTTATGTAGTGTTTCTCAATCTGTGGTTAATCAATATTGCAAATAAGAGGGAATTTTCTCATTGTTTGGTTGTAGAATTCTATAGGTATCTATTCCTAAAAATGTATATAATTATTGCCAATGTTTCTTTTTAATTTTGATATGAAGCGGATCTGAAAACTTAAACTCTTTCGAAAATATGCATTTGTGACCACATCACCCGCGTAGATGACATTGTTATTTTTTTATAGTTATACCATCGTTAATATTAAATAGTATCCTTTTTTAAATAAAACCTAACACATAACGAATATATAACCATATAAATATAATGAAACACTTTTATAAACAAAATAATGGAAAAGACAAGCATTTTTGAAGTATGTAAGAAAATTAATTCCTATAGAAATTCCTTTAGAAAATTAATTTTTTAAATACTTTGAAAATACATTTCTTTTCAATTCTTTCATTTGTTAAGTGTATACAAGAATATACCAGTCTTCAACTTTTATAAACATTTCATATAAAATAATATAATCCAAATGTATTTTAGTGCCTCTTGGAATAACTACTGCTCTATTATGTATTAGAAAAATATGTTATTAAATGTAAGAAAACATATCTATAGATATTGTTTCTTTTTAAAGTTATTTGGAACATATTCGAGTTTCATAACAAACTATAAAAAATTGCTCATTAGCATGGGTACACGTAAACTCATCACCAATTAGCATAAATACCCGCAATAAAACCAAGACTTTAAAATAGACCTGGGGAGATTTACAAACCGATCAGTGGTATACCTGCACCCTGTGGTAGGAAAAGACCATAGGATGATCTTTATCTGTTTCTAAAAGCCAGGACATTTGTTAGGTTTGCCTGTTTTTCAGATACTTATTTTAAATTTACTAAATACCAACATTGTGTCCAATTATTTCCAAAAAAGTCAGTAACACCAAAACGCTAACAGACCAAATGTGTAATATCTCTTCTTCTTCTTCTTTTTTTTCTTTTATACGCAATTCTGCTTGTTCATTGGCTTAATCCCTCCATTGAAGGTTGTCACTGCATCTTTTGCGCGATCGTCCGATACGTCTTCTGCCGATTGGTGACTTATCTCTTGCTATTTTAACGACACGGGTCTCCTCCATTCTGCTTATGTGGTTATTCCATTCTTTTTTTCTATTTTGGTGTCCATTCATTTATACAGTGTACCTTACATTTTCTTGTAATATCTTTCCTTATCTTTCGATCTCTTAGTGTATTTCCGGAAATTCTTCTCAGTACTCTCATCTCTGCCGTTTCCAGTATCATTTACGTTATGGACGAGTCAGGTCTTATTTCTGAGGCAAATCTCATCATTGATGTTACACTGGCTTTATAAATTCCTGGTATCACATATTTACCTGCAGCTTTTCTGTTTTTCAAGTTTTTAAATATTTTCCGAACTTCCTGTACATTTATATTAAGTTATCTTATGAAGCGCCCTATTTCCTTTAGCAGACCGTTAAAATCATATTCCATTTCTTTCGAAAAACGTTCCCAATGATCATATTTTATTTTACTTACTAGTGCATGTGTTTCTTTTCTAATTTTCTTGTAACTATGCTATGTCTCTTGTGTTTTGGTTGACATGTATGTTTGGTTGGAATGTATAATACACGCACAACAAAGTACAACTAGAATTTAACGAGAAATTGCAGAATTCAACGTTAATGAAATATCGTAGTTAGGAACTGTTTTCGGTATACCGTCAATAGCACATGCTTGAAAATACTTTCATTAAATGTTTATTATTAAACACACATTAAATACATCTAATAGGCTACTCACTGTGCGACACCCGATATAAATATACTAATTAAATTTTATTGCAATTTGCTTAAATTAATTGCCGAATTTATTAGATTAATAACCCCATAAACAAGAAGTGTAACAAAAAAGCAATCCGTTTTAAGTCATTAATGATTATGATACTCTATTCTTGTGTATAACTCAATTTATGTTATTTCTGTATATATTTTTCAATATTTTTACTGTTCTATTGTCAATATCTCTTATGTGTATTATATCCCACACTTGCAATCTCTTGCAATCTTATCTTGCAATGTGTTTACCCCGAAAATATGCAAATATTTTACAAAATATGCATACAAATAAATAAAAAAATCGTAAAATTAGTAACAATTTTATTTAAAAAAAAGTGTACATAACTAATATTTCCTACTATTCATTAAGATTTACATTTATTTTAAGTAACTACATCATTTTAAAGTATGAATAAACTTATTTAGAATTATGGTAACAATAAATGACCAAGTGGTGTTCAAAATTTTCTAACAAAAACTTGTGGCTTCTGTCTGAGTACATATATTTATATATGGAAAAACTTCGTTCAACATCAACTGATGTAACGGGAGCGTTTTTCAAACTAACCAAAACATTTGGTTCTAAATTAATTGTTTCCGAAATATTTCCAGCTAGAACACTGACGACTTCAGAAAGAATATGGTAACCTTTATTTTTTTCCATAGTAGCTTCAAATTTTTTTAAAATATCTTTTCCAATATTATCTCTAACGTTCCGACAACATGACGCAAATTCTTTTATTAATGCTGTACTTTCGAACAATGACAGTTTTGGTGATTCTAACTGAGTAATTGTTTTTTGAACAAAACTAAAATTTGATTTTATAAATGAAAGTTCTTGTTGAAGCAAGTTACTCTGAAAAGTTTGTTTAGAATCCAAAAGAGATTGGGAACTTTCATCTGTTAACGTATCAATTATGTTCTTTATTTTAACAAAATGATCTGCATAAAAATTAGCTGCTTCTAACCATGTTCCCCATCGCGTTAAAATAGGTTGTGGTGGAAGAGAAATGTTAGGTAGCATTTCTTTATAAAGTTGAATTCTTATAGGAGATTTAAGAAATACTTTTTTGACACTGGATATCATGGTATTTACAAGAGGAAACTTTTTTCGTATTTCCTCTGCAACTCTGTTTAATCCATGCGCTACACAAGTAACATGTATTAAATCTGGGAAAAATATTTTTAAATTTTGTCCTGCTTTCACCATATAAGGAGCAGCATCCGATAAAATAAGCAGTAATTTATTAGAAGGAATAGTTGTCGGAAGAAAAAAAGTTGCTAATGTTTCTTGTATAAAACGGGAAATTGTTAAAGCATTTGTTTTCTCCAGTTGCTGGCATGAAATAAGATGAGATTTTGGTAAGGTATCTTCTTTAAGAACACCAATCAATAAATGAGCAATATACTTTCCTGAGGAATCAGTGGTTTCGTCTACAGATATGTAAAAATAATTATCTGCAATAGATCACATGCATGTAGGTGGCGCTAGCGTCAGGGTTTGGTATTAAAACATAACCTTATTTTATTCTGCCATTTATTTACATAGCGATTTCAGTTTTAATAAGTTAATTAGGACATTTAAATCGTTTGGGCACTTTTATTAAAACTTTATAGTATGCCTTACAATTGTTGTGTGCCACAATGCAATTCAGTTTCCAATAAAACTGACAATGTTAAGTTTCATAAATTCCCATTAAATTAAACTTTACAAAAACGATGGTTAATCGTTATCATGTCTGAAAAAAATATTAGCAAGCACACAAAAATCTGTTCCAAGCACTTTTCAAATGAAAGTTATACCGTTACAAGTTTGGGTAAGTTAAAAAATACTTATCCTAATTTTTTGCATTTTTATTGTCTTGTTTTTTTAGGACAATGGAAGATCCTTAAAAAACATGCAGTACCTACAGTAAATTTACGAAAGGAACGTTATAGACTCCAATGAATGACTCTAGGAGGAGTTATAGATATAGAAAAATACTTTGTGCAGCAGTATTGCCACCAAACAAACAAAAAGACCAAACAGAAACAAAATTATTACAAACAGTTAAGAATGATACAAAAAAGTGTGGTTCAACAGAGACACCTGCTAACAAAAAAAAATCATAGAATTTAAAAACATGTATTACAACTCAAACTGTGATAACAGGGAATAAACGTCAATTCATTTTGAATGACTTTTTGTCAGAAGAAACATTTTGCTGTTTTTTTAAGAAAATTATTTACATTTTTCATTGAAGAGTTTGGAAAATCATACATATTAAAATTCATAGTGCAGTTTCAGTAAAAATGAACTGTTAATAACACTTATGAAATATAGACCTAATTTGTTTTATTCTACATTAAAGCATTTTTTTGCAGTAGACATTCAAACTGTCTGAAAAATATTTGTTAAGTGGACCAAGCATCTTTACACTTGCTTAAAAAAAATTAACTTTTGGAACATTGCAACAACTTGTGAAAACCAGTGCAAATTATCTGGACCGTACAACATATTCTATATATTATGGAACCAATACCTTTAAAATACTAATAGCATGATCTGAAAAAGGTGAAATTATATATGTATCTGATATTTTTGGAGGCAGTATTTCAGATAGTAAAATTACAGTGCGGAACTTAGAACTTATTGAAGAAGGAGAATTTATTTTAGCGGACAGGGGTTTTAGTATATAAGATCTTTTAGAGGAAAAAGGGAAAAAATATACCTCCATTTAAAAAAAGAGCTCAGTTAACAGAAGAAATAATAAAAACAAGGACCGTTGCCAATCGTAGAATCATCGTTAAAAATATTATTCTTCTTCTTGTAGTTCCTTCTCCTAACGGAGGTTGCTTATCATCACAGCTACTCGTACCTTATCGGTGGCTGCTCTGAAAAGATCTACTGAGCTGCAACTATACCACTCTTTTAGGTTTCTTAGCTAGAAAATTCTTCGTCTTCCTATGGATCTTTTACCCTTGATTTTACATTGCATTACGAACCTTAATATCTCATATTTCGCACTTCTGGTAATGTGGCCTAAATATTCCAGCTTTCTTGTTTTGATGTGCTTTATCACCTCGAAATCCTTTAAAGCCTTCTTAACACGTCTGCATTTGAAACTCTTTAGGTCCATGATATTTTCAAAATCCTTATAAAGCACCACATCTTAAATGATTCCAACTTCTTTATATTATCCACTTTTAGTGTCCAGCTGTCCATTCCATACAACAAAGTTGAGAACACGTAGCACCTTAAGGCTCTTACCCTCAGCTCCAGAGGAAGATCTCGATTAACAAACATTGTTTTCATTTTTTTTAATGCTTGTCTTACAATAATTTCAATCCTTGCCCTTATTTCTCTACCTTGGTCATTGTTTTCATTTATACAGGTTCCCAGATATTTGTAATTATTCACTCTTTCTACTTGTTTGCCCTCGATATATATCCTTCCTTCTGTATGTTGCTTGGAAATAATCATATGTACTTGGTTTTTTTAACGTTCATTTGTAAAAGTCCATATTTGATACTGACTTGATGTAATCTATTTACTAAGCGTTGCAGTGCTTCTAGACTGTCTGCAAAAACAGCGGTGTCATCTGCGAATCTTATGTTGTTCAAGATTTTTCCGTTTTGATATACTGTTAAAAATATTATAGGATTTTCAAAAAAATATAAACTACTGAAAGATAGAATTTCTTCTTAATTATTCTTATATATAAATGAAATAATTTATAACTGTTTTATGATTTGTAA